AGAAGCATCCTTTTGTTTACAGAGAACAGGAAATAAACAGGATACTTGCTCTCTGCCTCCCACTCTCTCTGCCTCTGTAATCCCATCTTCATTGGCCATTGCTTTGGCTGCACAGCAGTGTTCATTTTTTTTAACCAAGCTAATTGCCAAACTTGGCCCAACCATCATTTGATTATGAATCCCAACTTAGTTTTTTGTGCCACATGCTTATCGTGTGAAGGGCTGCTGGTAAATATATAATTCATTACTTCTCTGTGTGAATTTGAGGCTCATAGGAAGCTATTGTAACACATGATAGATAAGCACCAGTGAATATGATGCCACTGAGCTTAAATCTGAATTTCTGCTCTCCAATTACAGTCCCACCACTGAAGTGTTAAGTGGATTCAAAGGTAGCATACAAAGCTGAATGGCAAAAAAGGCTTGAGAGGAGGAAAAGGAAAAGGGGGAATGGGGAAGAAGATGGAAAAGATGGAAAGCCCACTCTTTAACCTGAAGTCTTAACAGCTATTTATGCTCTGGGTTATACAGCTAGGTGTAGATTGGGTAAGAGGGCTTTTCCGAGGACAAAGTCTAAGAAACTGTGCAATTAGCATTTTCTTTCTGAAAAATCCCTTTTTTAAATGGGCACAGTGTTAATGACCACAAGGAAAGGTGTATTTCAGAAAGTGGTTAAGGTATCAAGAAATTGGTATTTTAATGTTTCCCTACTGAATGATAAAGAATTTATCACAATGTTTTGATCTGAATTTAAAAACATCAAGTGCCCAAATTTTTGAATGGGAAGCATATAAAGCATACATTCGAAGCAGAATCATTGCTCATGCATCACACAAAAATAAGATTAAAAATAAAAGGGAAAATAATTTGAGAGATGAATTGAAACACTTATGGGCACAGATGGTTAAATGCCCATCTATAGTTTTGTACAGAAAAATACAGAAAAAGAAATATGAATTAACTACTATAATATCACAGCATATAGAATTTATGCTAACATGTTTATGACAGAGATACTGGGAGAATGGTGAAAGACCTGGTAAGATCTTGGCTAATTGTTTAAAGCAAAAAAACGGGCAATGATTCCAATCATTAGAGGTAAAAGAGATGAAATGTATAAAAATTTAAAGGGTATTAATTGTCATTTTTTAAAATGTTATTCAGAACTATATAGTAACCCA